GGTTTCCGACTCAGTGCTCTACCAACTGAGCTATATCTAATCATAACTAGTTCGACTGATTGTCGTTATCAGTGGGTCTTCCGAAAGTATCACAGTATATCAACAGAGTTCATTTCCGTGTAATCATAAGCATTTTTATTTTATCCCTCGTTTAGCCCTTGTAACGTTCATCTACATCCAGCTACCTCCTAAGTACACATTTCATAGGATTAATAACTTTACAATGACTAATCAGTGGAAAGCAGGAATGACTTTAAAGGCCATCCTAATAACCGATGAGACAACCAATCAGGTGTCTCTATTCTATGAAGAGTTGTCTTCGCAGCCAAAATACTCCAACCTAATTGGTTATTTTGACAGTTGTTGACGTGGCATTTAAAGTCGCCCAGAAAGCAGACAATTTTATGTTGTCTAGTCGTGACTACTGACAGGATTCTATTGATTTTTTTACAATATGGTCGAATGCCTCCAACCAACTTTATATTTTTCAAGAATCTGAGTTGTCACATGATTAGAACGATTGATTTGCAAGTTATAAATTGAAGACGTTACTGAGTAAAAATACGAAATTAGATTGATGAGTAAAAGTTTTTATTTCACTTCAGTCAAATTATTGTCGTAGAATATTGTGTAAGTGTTTATATTTTTCATCCTACTGGTGAGTAACCAAATCATGTCTTCGTATTCTTAAACGAAGTTATACAAAACCAGATATGCTGAGCAACTAACTAACTGGTTACTTAACTATAGTCTTATTTATTATAGGAACAATAACCGTAAAATCAAAATTCACTCAGCAACCTTATGAAAATTCGTGCAGTAGACAACCAATCAATGCCACGTCTATTGTACAAGGACTAACAGATACTACGTGACTGACCAAATTTCAGTAGGTAGAGTGGGGTTCGAGTCCATGATCCACTTGATTGAAAGTTATCTCCCTGGAACAGTTGACTACAGTTCTACATAAACACTGACCGGAGTTATTTTTCTAAAGTCTACATCCTAACCGCACGCAATCAAAGTGTTCACTGCTTCAAATACTCTCATTATCTCTGATTCGATGTTTTAGTAGTAATAGTTGTACTTGGGTGACGACTGAAGGTGAGATGAAAATCTAGAAAGCGGTCGGATTCAAACCAGCGACCAACGGTGGTCACGATGCTAAAATATTGCTATAGAGTAACTGTGCTTTCTTGACACACTTAATACTTGAAAAATGTTAAACACAGATGAATTTCTTAAGATATAAAAACTTACAAGTAACAATAAATAGTAACTATAATACCTATTCTACAAGAAGCGGCTTTCGTACCTCAGCAGTCTGGGGGATAACACTACTGTTTTAAGAGATGGGTATGGAGTTCAAGTCTCTGTGAAAAGAGCATTATTTATTGGGGTACAGGTTCACCCATCTATCGTAGGTGGCAGCATCTGTGGCGCTGCCACGATACCAGACTGCCCATTAACGGTCGAGTTTACTGCGCTGTAGTCTGCTCTGTTCTACTTTATGGCTGTGAAATATGGCCATTAAATGTAGAGGGTATGAGAAGACTTCAAGTGTTCGACCACTTAATACCTTCGTAGCACAGACCATGTGTCATAGTGTTATCACTTCAGTAACGAAGAAGTCAGGTATAGAGTGTTTTTGGATGGAGAAGAAAATCAGTTGACAACGTCGTCAACTTTTATCAAATAAGATCGCAGGGATATGTGTTACGTATGTCTAGTCACCATTTGCCTCGTCGTACAATGTTGGTTGAAGTATGTTCAGACTTGAAAAAGGTTATGGATAACCAGACTAAAACATGGCGTCATTGCATGAAATCTTTGGCTAGTGGTTTGAGCCACATAGGGAAATGCAGACTAGACGGTCGAAATCCATAAGATAACAGAAACCAGTGGTTGGATATTCTGAGTGATATGGTTCAGAAACGAAGTGGGTGGCACAGATTTACCCACGTAATATCCTTATTGCTATACTGAATTCAGCATTTTCGCACTCCTCCTCCTTCTTTTTTACTACTTTCTACTGCTTCTGACTAGTTCTTCTCTATTTCTTCATCTTTCATTGTAATGCTTTGTTACTTTTTGTACTGATATGAAGTATGGATCGTTATGTAGTAATGCTCATTTTGCTCATTGCATCCTGGTATATAAAAATGAGTGATCGATAAGAAACAATATTTGAGTAACGGTAGATAAATTCGCCTGTAGTCTAGGACAATACTCGTATAAAGTTAAACAGACAACCTAACTAAATCTATCTCTTAGACTGCCTACTTCATCATCATCATCATTATCAACATAGGACCAGGCATTACTGCGTAACGGTCCAACTTGCCACACCTCATATCAGCACATCAAGTAAGGTGAAGGATGAAGATAAGTGAATACAGTCAAAAGAAAGATAAACTACGAGAAGAAAGGAAAGAGGAGTGACAAAATGGTGAGATTCGGTATAGCGTTGTTAAGATGAGGATAATGTGTGTATACATCTGCGCCACTGACTTCGGTTCTGAGCTATATCACCTAGGGTCTCCAACCACTGGTTCCTCTTGTCCCGCCAACCCCAACCACCTAGTCTGCATCGTCCCACATGGCTTAAACCAACAGTCAGAGACTTCATACATTGGTGCCTACTTATGCATGTTGATTAAGATATGCCAACAATTATGAATGTACAAGATAAGGTATACGTCCATTGAACAGTTCGATATTGTATATCTTTCTTTCAGACTGCAAAAAATGAAATACTTAGGTAAATTCACCTTCTTCTACAGATCGTACACAATTGTGTGAAAAGTTATCTACTTATAAATCACGATGTTATAGAAGCATAACAAGGCATACAATGAATAAATATGCAAACTAAAATCAACATTTTCAGCTCCTCTTAGTTGAATTATGAACTGATGAAGACATAGATATCACACAACTCATCAATTATTCCGCACATTAAAAGAAAGAGATAATATAACTAACTACTATGTAAATAAATCACCTACATTGTTCTATTAGTCAATTCAGTCAAAAGAATACGCTACTATTTCTAGAAATACATTTTTCTATGCCAACTATACACATTATGCATGGATCAGACAAAAGGTTTCGTTTGGCAGTTGCCGAATTGCATCATCTGTGGTACCGAAATATCTGATTATCTATCAAAGGACGAAAACACTGTACTCTAATCGGTTCTGTCATCCTATGCACCTGTCAAACAGCTGATAAAACAAGAAGATAAGAAGCGATTAAAGGGTCTTGCTCATAGGTATCTTCATAGCATTGCTCAAGTTTTGTGGAATTATCATGTAAGCAATCTTAAAATCAGGCGAAAGGTACTAGGCAAGACAGGTCAGAAAATTGATTGAGGAGATCGTGAACCCTCACTATCTATCTCAACGTGCCATGTTAGAGGAAGTTGGATTAGGTTGGAAGAAAGTCTATGGTGGTCAGACCAAGATGTGGTACCAACCCATGAAGTCAATACCTGTTGGTTTGAGCACTGTTAGGAGATTTAGACTACCTGGCTTAAGTCACCAAGACGACAGGAATCAGTGGATGAATATTTTTGGTGACATGGATAAAAGTCGGTGACAGTGCCGTAGATGTACTCACTCTCTGACGTCTTCAAGAGATTGAAGAACATCCTCGTGCTAAGTCATCTATATCGTGAAAAGGAACCTTCCAAAGTCTGTATGTCTTCGTATTCTCTCTATCACCGAAGCTCTTATCATCCATATGGACAAACCTGAACTGTGTACGCAAAAGAGGATTGTTCAACCTCTTTCCCTTTCATCATCCTAATTTTCAGTCACCTTTAGTCCACCTCCCATTTTTTCTTTTCATTCTTCTGTTTTGACACTATTCACTTCTTAAGTAATTTTGCTACTCATTCGTGTTGCTATGCTCTGATTGATCATAATTCCAATTATGTCGTCATGTTATGATTAATATTTACTACTACTTATCAGTTTTTGGTTGTTGTTTTTTTTATATTTTAATGACAGCTGATTTATTGACAGTATTTGTGTTGTTATGGTTGACAAACCATTTTAACTATCAAATTCTTACACTAGAAAAATGTATAAATTTATGATTGTATACAGCTTTGAAAAGAGACTCTTCGCTGAAATATATACTTGATCTTCTTTTATATCCTGATGGGTATATTTCACACATTGAAGATAACAACTAAAGTTTATCTTTGAGGTGTTTATTCTCTCAATCAATTTTGTCTAAATTGATATCACTCTTATTCTATCCATCTTTTCTTTGTATACAACAGTAAAGTGTGATAACTTGAAGCGATACACTTGTGTGCTAAGCTCAACGTTGATTCTGTCTATTTGTCTATCCTGTTTGCATAGATTAGAAATTGACAAGGGGTTGAACACAACATTAGGATTAGTACATTTTCTTTTAGATTCAAAATAAAACTAGGTCCAATGAAATATAACTTTGATTATCTTATAAATCTTCGTCGTTGATTGGTTCAAACTGATAGGTTACTCTATTTAGCATATGAACTTCTGTGTAGACGCCTTGATAGTACAGATGATAGTGGTATGCAGTAGAAGCTGAGATGTATGTTTCATCCTACTTAGGAACTTGTCAACTAGATGTACCACGCTATTTTGCAGTTAATGATGTTGTTTCTATCCATCAAAATGCATCTTGAATTCTACTGCTAGCCATTATTCACCATTAATATTGTAAATCTATCTATTACAACAAATAATAGTTGTAGTAGTAGTAGTAGTATGAAAACTAAATCACTGAAATCGACAAAAGTTGAAATGAAACCTTGAACAATATTTCATCTGACAGAGAGATAGATACAAATGCACTCAGCATTTGTTTATTTACACTTTTGAATGATTCAACAGAGTTCGAACTAGTCAATCAATCAGTTTTTATCTAACAAAATGTTAAAAAAAGAGGAGTAATAAGAAATAAGCATAAATGAAAAGAAATAGGAATATAATTAGATCTACCTTCAAAGCTTCTGTAATATGTTGATTGAAGATATCATCAACAAATTCATGAATTACTCGATATTTATCAGGGAACATTTCAGCTTTAAATATTTGCCGATCCAATTGTTTACCTTGTGGTACAAAACGTGGTTCTGGTTTGTGATAAGTAACATTCCTAATTATTGATTAAAATGGAAGAAAAACAAGAGTAAGACAACTAGGTTAGTTATCACTTTTTTTTAGTAAAAACACCAAAACAATGAAGTTAAATAATTTTCACGAGAAATTAGGTTTCGAAAGTGCTTAAATACTTTTCAATTTCTTGGCTTACAAAAATAACTGTAAGCATTGAGAATCCATATCTAAGCCCACGATAAATAAGATAAACTTCAGATTGAGCAGCAATCACGGATGATTTGACCACTACCAATAATATACTTATGTCTCACAAACCTGAACGTCTGCAGGCGAAAACTAACAAGTTGGCAGAAGAGGCAGCGAAACGAAGACCGGACTTCCTTCAGGTGAACGTAGAGAAGACAGAGGTGATGAAGATACCCAATCAACAACATAAACAACTGGAACAATCACCAGTCACCATCAACGGGAAAAACATAAAGAAAGTTGTCTCTTTCACCTACCAACCTACATACCTACGACAGCATCCTTTCAACTACAGGTGGCACACACACACACACACACACACACACACATGAGGATGTCAAAACCACCATCAGAAAGACACCAACACACGCATTCACAAATTTCAAATAATCAGTCTGCAGATATATTCCACTTCACTTCACTTCACTCAACATTCAGTGTCAACAACATCTGGATTTTCAACACCAATTCAGTCAAGTAAGTCACTGCTTGCTTACTTGCTTGCTTCTATGTGATGGTTGAGAGACTTGCCACCCTACAAAAACACTTCCAACAAACAAACTCCACACACACATCACATCAACAGTTGCCACATACGCTCACTCAATACTGAAGATGCAGATGAGATGGTGAGAATAATGAGAATAAGCAACGAGGAACTCTGGCTGGCTGCCTGGTTGGCTCGCAAAGAACCAACCAACGAAGAGCGTATCACGCCACAACTGTGCAGTAGAAGAAAGTGGAGATGGATTGGATTGGATTGGGTTGGGCATACAATGAGAATGCCGATTGGGGACATCACGCGCTAGGTGAAACCAGGCCGTCGAGTGTAGGCCAAATAGGAAACGACGAGTTGGGCATCCTAGTAGAGGGTGATATGGAGGAGACGGTGTGAGGAAGAAATGAAAGCTTCTGGGTAGTTGTGGAGTGAGGTTCAAAAGACTGCAGAGAACAGAGTGCAATGAAGACGTGCTACTGAAGCTCTATGTTCCACTAGGAACCCAAGGGTAAAATACTAATAATATAGTGAACAATAAAAGGAACTCCACACCCACCCACCCTACGCCACCCTCACACAACTCCATATCTATGCATAATATCTCATGTCACAAATAGAGGCCGAGCAATATGACCCAGTATCAAATCAGCAAATTACACTGGTCAATAAAACAACAACTGATACTCGTTGCACAAGTGGTTGGTTTCGCGTCCCAATGACCTAGTGGATAACGCTCTGGTGTATGAAGCGATGGGTGAGCGGTTCAAATCCCATTGGGAACAAGACCACTGGCATTCAGGTAAATCTGGCTGACAAGTCACAAATAGGACGAAACGCACGTTCTGGATTCCATTACTAGTCACTAAGATGAACATAACATCATGAATATCCACCAATATCAAGACATCTGCATAGGAGCCCATCTACCAACAGAGGTTTAGTGACGAGGAATTACAAGTATCATTTCGCTAAACTGTAGATAACGAGTGCTAACGAGGTATATAACAAACAGAAACTCATGGAATGGTATCAAGTACTTGTAGTCACTCAGTCTACTCCCCCCTCCCCTCATATAGCGACTCAATGACTTAGACACTTGACTTTCTGTTCGAACCCGGGCACACAAATAGGCTCGGGCAACCAGGATTTAGCATCACGAACCAATATACACAGTAAATATGCTCGATATTTCAGTGAACTAACCTTCAGTGGAATGAGGAATCGTAGTTACATTCGCATAAAAAAACAAATGTTAAACTTATGAATAACAACTGTATGTATGTATATGCAAATAGTTGTTGATTTTCATCAAAAAATGTAGCTGAAATATATCTTTATCGTATGCACACAGACCATCAAGTGAAAGAACGGTAGACGTCCACTGGGTTGAATCATTTAAACAAAATAATGAAAAACAACTACAAGCTGTACACGAATCACTGTTGTCCTAAGATGACTAGTGAGACGAATTATTGGATATGTTTTGAAAGATTATATCCACTATTAGAAATAGTATAGGTCATTGTTTGATGTGAATAGTAATAATAACATGGTGATAATCATTGTTAGGTATTACTAACCGTCTATTGTACTTATGTATAGAACTTTGTGACAAGTAAGTAAACAAATAATTTATCTAGCCAGTTGTTCATTAAATTATATGCCAGTTAGTTAGTCAGTTAGTTACACATTGAATTAATTGTCTCACATGAGATCTGTATCTTACATGCCATCACCAAAATACGTTTTAATGTATATACACGATAGATGGTGGCATAATAATTATAATACTCATCAGTTTATTAACAATCTCATCATGAATTAATGGAACCTTTCTGTTTTAACTAGAAGCACAACTAATCTAGTAATAAAATTATAAATATGCAAGTGATTTGTGTAATGAATCGAGAATTGAAGCGACTCCACAAATCAATGAAAACTGGGATATGTAAGATTTCAAACATCTAAAGATTAGCAAAACATTAATAAAAAGCAACAATCTGAACAAAGAAGAACATTAATATTTATGGATATGCTTGTAATTCTCAGTTGTTTTACTGGATCGAATTGTTCGATGCATGTCCTAGATTCTCTTACTAACCAAGTAAATTACTATAATTAACATTCAGGCAATATTGAGGCATCCGCATAGAAGCCCATATGTCAATAGAGGTCAAACAATTCGATCCAGTATAACAACGAAGAATTACAAGTACATCAATAAATAGTAAACATTATTACCCGTTGTACAAGAAATGGCTAGCATGCCTTCGTGGCCTAGCGGATAACGCCTTAGCATTTGAAGTGATCGGTACGAAGTTCGAGTCTCGGTGGGGACAACATTACTCAGCACTGGAGTGCAGGTACATCCAGCTGACGAGTCTCAAACAGGACGAAACGCGCGTCCTGAATTCTTCTGCTAGCCACAGACATGAAGAAGAATATTCTTTTCAATCAGTACTTTCATCAGGTTCTACAACTACAAAATGCATTTTTACAGCATAAAACCAAGCTCAAGTTACAGGTAAATACGCTTTCAGAATGGAGTGAGATTTAGGAACTGTAAGGAAATCGAGTTTTAATTCCTTTTTTTCTCTAATTTGTCAATATTAGGATGACTTATAGAAAGACAGATGAATAATGTGATGGTGAACGGAAAGTCGAGGATTAACGAACACAGGAGTTACCTTTAGTCTACTGAAGGCCAAAGAAGGAAAAACGTTTTGAACATGATCTTTCTGAAGTCTCATCTATGTTCATCAAGCATTAGTGAGCTACATATAACATTATTTTCAGAATACGATGCATGCCATTAAGAGCTTTATTAGCATCTATGTGATACCCTGTGTCTACTAGGTGCGCTATAATGGAACTTTTCCTCACTTTCACTTCATGTTCTCCAAACCAAGCCAGTAAATGCTCGATATGATATATATGAAATTTATATATATTCTCTACCTTAGGTTATTTCCCAAACGATGTGCTTAACAATATTCTAGACAAAACGTCAGGTCAGTAAAAGAAGCCTTTAACCTACATTTATTGACACGGTTAGAAACTGCGTTAACTAAGCCGATTTAATACCTACTTCAATAAATAAATAAAATTGATGATTGAATAAGACTGTATGCATCTAGCAAGTTCGTAGGTGTTACAAACAGTACAAACAAGTTAACACAGTAACCATAAATAGCCTTATTCATACTAGTCAGTCAATAATCAAACGCGACCTACCATCACTAAGTAACGGAATAAGTTGCTCCACCACACATCATCACATCAAGAAAGAAGGCACCAAGATGAAATAAAGAAAAAAGTAATCGAAAGTGGAGGAAAATTTCAAAAGGAGAACAAGAAAGAGCAAAACAAGGTGAAGATAAGGCGTGAATATATCGGCATCACTCTCGACCATTTTGAATCAGATCACTTACAGTCTCTAATCATCGATTTCCATTGTCAAGCAAAACAGAACGGAGAAAGTTCACATTTCCCTACTTGACGGATATCAACAGTCACAGAGATTAAGGACTGGTGCCATGTTTTAGTTGCAACATTTTCTACCAAAAAAAAAAACCTAATTCAGCTAACACTGCGCGAATGGATAGATACTGACATGGTATGTCCCACGATATCAGTAAATCAAAATTTGCAACCCCATTAACTGACTACCCGCTTTTACTCAAGGCTCTACACTTAGCTTTTAAGTTACTGACGTGGTGACACCACGTCACACGGCTAATGCTATGAATTTCATATTAACCACCTTCAATGGTCATGTTTCACGCTTATATAGTAGAATACACTTGATTCTTGATAGACGGCACCATATATAAAGAGTCAGTTGACGAGAGTCGAGTAAGCCTTTTGCATCTGTACAGAGATTTCGTCGATCACTGACCCGCCAAAGCTGATAGAAATGCCAAGTATGTGAAGTAGTTAACGAGTTCTACCACTACATTAACCGCTATTGGGCAAGGCACCAGGAAAGACTATTCCTGAAGCAACAATTTGCATTTTGATGATAAACAAATGTCAAACATTTTTGGATTGTCACTCGCGGTGTCTAGAAGACTTTGTATCTTGTCAGGGTCTTCAGCTACAAAGAGTTTGCCGTCTGTGTATTCTGCCTAATAAGAACTCACCCGTGACAAGATCGATCCCTGTAAAGTCAAATGGAGAAGCTATCTCTACGAAAAAACTGAATAAGAATGAAGACAGTGAATATCCTTTACGGATACGACTCGACGTACACAGCTTTCATGATACCTTGTCAAACGCTATACACCCGAGGGTGTTCGAATCTAGAGATTTTAACAGGAAGTTGTACTTACCCGAAACTCTTTTCAGTAAGAAACATTGTCATAGGGCTTATAAATCAAAGTAATCGAATGGCACCTCTGTACTAGCCAGATGGTGTCTGTTACTATTCATCCTTTCAGGTTACCTAAATCCTTCTCAACTTCTGCGGAAGTTAAAGACTATATCCAACTGTCTCATATGGGATTTGACTGCATAGCGGACGATTGAAGAATAGACGGAGACCAGCTGAACTGCTTCGAAAAATATTCTGTCCATGGTTCCAGATAATACAATAACTAACTGACTAAAAGAACTAGTTTACTTTTTATTTGTGTTCTAACCGGCTGATGTAGTTTGTTTCAATGACTTTGATTATTCTACGTCAATATAATTAGCTAATTGATACATGTGAAGATAGCGACTGATATAAGTAGCATGACATGAAATGAATGCTTTCAATTACATCTCGAAACAACCGTCATCGCTTTGTACAATGAATACTACAAACAGATAAATGGTATGGCAATAGGATCACTTCTAGGATCCCGCCTTCTAGCTGAATGTTTTATAGCAACCTTGAAAAACAAAACCTTCTGAAAAATAATCAGCAAGTTTCATATCAACAAAAAAAAACATTATCTGTAACAAGAATACGAATCTCCAAAACCTACTTCAACAATGCTCATTCCCTTTATTAAATCAATCCAGAAGAAAAGTCAAACTCAAAATACCCCTTCCTTGATGTCCAACTTCAAAGAACAAATGACTACCAATCCAGAGATTTATTTACAGAAAGATCACCTAGAACGGCCAGTTTATCAATTTGAAAAGCTGTGTCTTTAGGTAGAAGGAGGAATCTTAATAATTCACCCTCTTTAAGAATATCAGGAGTGTGCACGGAAAAAACCGTTAAAAATGAACTAGAAAAATTGCGAGAAATCGTGATGGAATTTATAGATATGGATCTCAACCTGAAAAACGTCACGGAACACTTACACATTGCTCCAGAAAACATCTTACTGTCGAACTTCGAATTCAAGAGGGTGGGGGGAATGTGGCAAATATCCAGATCCATAAACGGAATATTCTTTGCCGCTAATCTTAGAGTTGCATTCTCCTGTTGGAAATTCATTTGACAGCGTGCAAAGGATATGCTGGGGCATTGGGCGACATCAGTGTACACATGTCACTTTACTTACTCCTATGAGGCAGAGTACATCAGTCATACCGTGCGCCAGCTTACGCAGTGCGCTCGCAAACACTACACAACCTGATTGACAGGAGGGAATAAAAATACATCTTCATCTCTGTAGCAAAACACTTAGTAAACTACGGACACTTGACCACTTTTGATAAGTCCTTCACAAATTCATACAAGGTCCGACAAAGGCATTCGAAAGACGTAAGAGGTTGAGACTTCTGGCAATGGCTGAAACATGAATCCTTCAAAAGTATAAACCATAATATTTTTCTTCTATCATTTGTCCTACGGGTTCATAGTGGAACATACGGGTTCATAAGCACGTCTTCACTGCACTCAGTTCTCTACAGTCTATTCAACCAACCTCCACCACTTCCCATAAACTTTCATTTCTTCCTCGCACCATCTCCTCCATATCACTCTCGGCTAGGACGCCTGACTCATCGTTTCCCATTTGGCCTCAAATCGACGGGCTCGCCTGGCGTGTGATGTCCCCGAATGATCTCAGTGAATGCCCAATCCATCTCCACTTTCTTCTGCATATTCGTTGGGCGATACGTTCTTGGTTGGTTGCTTCATTACCAGGCCGGAGTTCCTTGTTGCTTATTCTCATTATTCTGACCATATGATCTCCATCTTCATTATCAAGTGAGCAAAGGCGGCGGCTGCTGATGTGATATATGTCTGCAGTTCGTTGGAAATGATTTTCGTACGCATCAAATATCTCAACCACATAGAAGTATTGACTTGACTGATATTAGTGTTGAAAATCAACATCTTGTCTTTTATGTTGAGTGCAGTGCAGATTTCAGATTAATGAAGGCCTGTTTCGCCTGCAGTTGAAACGATACTGCCTACGTATGTAGGTTGGTGAAAGGGACAACTTCCTTTAGATTTCTCCCACTGATGATGATTGGTGCTTGTTGTTGTTGATTGGGTATCTTCATCACCTCTGTCTTCTCTACGTTCACCTGAAGGAAGTTGCATCTTTCCTGCCTTGCTCTAACCTGCCTCTTCTGCTGACTAGTTAGTTTTCACCTTTGAACCTTTTAGTTTGCGCGACATTAGATACAAATCATCTGCGAATTAAACTACCATTATGCCTCTTTATTTGCCATCGCCTTCGTGGAAGATTAATCACTCATCTTTATGACGCAACTATACTTTATGCTGCTGTCCACCCCAAGCAAAATACTATGCCGCATCAGCCTGGAGAGACTGAAAAATGCACTGGATTCAAGAAGTACAAATCATATGCAGACCAAATTGCAAACCTACTCTACACATCATCATATAACAGATTGTATGTAGAATGCCAGTCAACTCTCTGTCTCAACTTCATCGATTTTAAAAAGCCTTCGACAGCGTCGACCGAGAAGCAATTTGACAGGCAGCTGTTTCAACACTACGCTTCTAGTGCCACAAATCTTTATCAATCTCATTCAACAGCTATATGGTATATGGGCATGCTACATGCCAAGTGATTCACAATACAATGGAAAGCTCAGTGAGGCCTTTGAAGTGAAGACAGGGGACAGGAGTTAGACAAGGTTGCCGCCTACTATCATCCATAACCTCCCTGATTGTGGTCGACTGATCTGGGTCATGCAGCGAACCGTGAGGAGTGAGAAGATGGGCATATGCTGGCTGGACCGATGAAATGACCCGAGAAAAAGATTTGGATTTCGCCTCTTATCATGATTCATGTTTAATGTCGCATAAAGTCGAAGATGTACAGGCGAAAACTAACAAGTTGACAGAAGAGGCAGGGCAGCGAAGATGGGACATCAAATAAATGTAGAGAAGATATAGGTGATGAAGATACCCAACCAACAACAACACAAGTATCAGTCAAATCTAAAGCAAGTTGTCTCTTTCACTAACCTACCTAACTACGCAGCATCGTTCCAACTACAGGGCGGCACAGGCACAGATGACGATGTCAAAACCATGATGGGAAAAGCAAGACAGGCTTTCACTAATCTGAAATCAGTGTGGAGATCAACTGCACTCAGCACAAAGAACAGGATCCTGATTTGCAACACCAATGTCAAGTCAGTGCTTCTGTATGGCTCAGAAATTTGGCGTGTCATGAAAAGCATTTCTAACAAACTACGGACATTCATCAACAGCTGCAGTCTACGCTTACTCGACAATGAAAATCAGATGGACAGAAAAAACGAGCAACAAGTAACGCTGGCGACGAACCAACCAAGAATCTATCACCCAACAAATATGCAGTAGAAGAGTGGAGATGGATTGGGCATACACGGAGAATGCCAACTGGGGCCATCACGCGTCAGGCCCTCGAGTGGAATCCAAAGGGGAAACGACGAGTTGGACGTCCCAGCTGAGGGTGATATGGAGGAGAAAGATCATGTGAGGAAGAAATGAAAGCTTCTGGGTAGTCGTGGCGCCAGGTTCAAAAGACTACAAAGAGAGTGTGCAATGAGGAGGCGTGCTACTGAAACCCTATGTTATACTAGGAACCCAAGAGAAACAATAATAAAAATAATACTTTATTTTGTTTCTTCTATCGCTTTAAGAGCCTACGAATATGATGTAACTTTCCTCTGTCATATAATTTGTATTAAGCCTTAACTGGAAATTACCTTGAAAGGTTCTATTATCCTTTCTTCCAAATATATATTCACAGATGTACAGCTAAGAGAATAATTTCATCGGTCAGAAAACTTTTTTTTCCTCGTTACAATCATCTTTTGTCTTTCTCTATGATCAAATAGATTTGCTTCAAATGTCTCATAATGTTATTAAACGATTCAATTAGACAATGTTAAACATTTTTTTTATTCCATTGAAAACAATTAAAACATAAATATCAGTTAGATAAATTTTCAACTAAGAATAATACCAAAAAAAAAAGGGTAGTAGAAAAGCAATTTAATAAATTTACTATTCACTTACTTAGCTTTCTTCTGAGAATACTGAATTATCAATTCATCAATTAGTTTAGCATCTAAAGTTGGGAATGGTGTCTGATGAATACGTTTATGAGCTTCAACAGCTTCATTTGGAAGAATCTGTGTAACTGGTTGATCACCACATTCCTTATAATCAGATGTTTTTAATAATAAAAAGTAATAAATTAAAAAAAAAAGTGAGAGATATCAGGTATTAGCTCAAGTTTTAAAGGGAATAAAATGCATCTACATTATCTATAAACAAATTCTCCTCCTAAATTCAATGAAATCTCAGTTATCATATAGTGCACAGTATCCCCACTAAGATCTCAGATATGAAAGCATAGAACGAGTAGAATAGTGAGATAACCATATTAAGCATGATAAAATCACTAATATTAACGTCTTTATAAAAAATTGCAAAGAACACCAAGTCATCGTCACTTTCAAAATGAGAGAGAGGGATAGAGGGAGAGGGAGAGAGTTAATGCCATCAAATCAAAAATATGTTCAGTAGAAAGTGTAGTAGAAATAGGTTATATACACTTCAAAATTATTACAAAAATCTCACCCTAATCTTCTTTATAATCATACATATTTCAAGTTAAATAAACTTAAGAATTTAAAGAAACCCTCAGATTGAAACAAATAACAATAAAAATAAAAAAAACTTGTGAAAGTAGAAGAACGACAGGAGATAGGTATGTAGTCACATTGAAGCAAAGCTAGAGAATGATTAAGGTCAACGACTAGGTAAGTTTGTGAGATTGTAAGATATATAAAAAGGTTCCAAGTCATTCAAAAGCCTATTAACCAGACGTACGCCTGTAGATTAAACCACGAAATATACATATAAATGGCTGTGGCTTATTGATTTACGCAGTTGACTTTCAACCAGTGCATTACAGGCTCAAATATCGTTCCATCTACAGAGGTTTGGGAAGTCAGGTAGTATCATTCGCCTTAACACAATAAGTATGGTTCATTGCCTCCTTCAACAATGTGTACAAGGTTGTTTAGTACGTTTAGTTTAGATTCAGGAGGAATCTAAAGGAAGTTGTCTCTTTCACCTACCAACCTACATACCTACGACAGAATCCTTTCAACTACAGGCGGCACACACACACACACACACATGAGGATGTCAAAACCACCATCGGAAAGACACCAACACACACATTCATAAATTTCAAATAACCAGTCTGCAGATATACTCCACTCCACTCCACTCCACTTCACTTCACTTCACTCAACATTCAGTGTCAACAACATCTGGATTTTCAACACCCATTCAGTCAAGTAAGTCACTGCTTGCTTACTTGCTTGCTTGCTTCTATGTGATGGTTGAGAGACTTGCCACCCTACAAAAAACACTTCCAACAAACAAACTCCAAACACACATCACATCAACAGTTGCCACCTACGCTCACTCAATACTCAAGATGCAGATGAGATGGTGAGAATAATGAGAATAAGCAACGAGGAACTCTGGCTGGCTGCCTGGTTGGCTCGCAACGAACCAACCGACGAAGAACGTATCACGCCACAACTGTGCAGTAGAAGAAAGTGGAGATGGATTGTATTGGATTGGGTTGGGCATACACTGAGAATGCCGATTGGGGACATCACGCGCTAGGCGAAACCATGCCGTCGAGTGTAGGCCAAATAGGAAACGACGAGTTGGGCATCCTAGTCGAGGGTGATATGGAAGAGATGGTGTGAGGAAGAAATGAAAGGTTGTGTGGAGTGGTGGAGTGGTGGAGGTAGGTTGAAAAGACTGTAGAGAATAGAGTGAAATGGAGACGTGCTAGTGAAGCCGTGTGTTCCACTAGGAATCCAAGGGGCAAATAATAACTATGATAATAATAAGTTTAGATCCGTGCGAACGGTTCACATTAGATTTTCTAGGTCAAAGAAAGTTCAGTAGTAGCAAGTAAACAGGAGTCTATGCTAATGAATATTCATTCAGTTAGATGAAGAAGTTTCAGAGTGGTTAGAACACTAAATGGTTACATGATTCACTACAAAGCATTTTACTGATTAGGATGCTTTTAGTATTTACCTTCTTATAAGCAGAAAGTGATTTATAGTCTGATACTGCGTCATTATGAAAATCAAAGTTGGATTCCACTCAGCTATCTTCTAGACATTAGTGCAATAGACAATGAGTTACTATTGTATTACATCCGAATTACTTTATGCACAATTAACAAATACACAACTTCAGTAGATGAAATAAGCCATTTTATCAGTTTGCAAACAGTTTTAGTTCACATACAACCAAGAAGTGAATTAATAACGTCATACATTGGCATACTGATATGTTGATTCAATACATCTATCCTATATCACAAATGATGAGGTATGTAATAATAACAACCTTGTTAAATACACATTAGTTTCCCAAAATAAAAAGGGAAATAGCAGTCGATAAATAGTGTTGAACCGACATTCGGATACATAAGAAACTTATTTGAAAAAGAAATGATGCCTAGTGAAAACTATCAATGGAAACACCAGGTTCTCTAAGTTGGTGACTTGAAATTCTACTGTGTCAGTGCAAAACTTCGATATTAAAGATGATACCCAAGCTGAAGCCAGATGAATTCAATAATACATGGTCTTAAAGCACAATGAAGCTACATAATAGATCAGCATATAAGTTATAAACCTGTATTGACTAAGGCAGTTGGTTATACACATGTTAGGCATGCTAACCCATTGGTTCACACAGTCATCAAATCAAATCCTCTTTGAAGTAAGAGTATCTCGTGATAGGATAAACATGACTAGACAAATAAGAGTGTACCAATCTGTTTATGAAGTTCAACGGTCATCTGTCTGAATGGTATCCAGGGTAGGAGTAAGTGTTATACACTATAATTAATGGAAGTGAATTGTCTATAAGAAAAAAATGAAACGCATTGACTATATAAACGTTCATCAAATAATACTTCCTGTGTTATATTTTAATGTGCAACATCGCATCAAGACACTATATATGGAGACTAATGGTTAAGAGTTGAATATTTCAACAGTTGAACTGTACACAATCTGAATGGTAGTTAAAACAAAGCTACTTAAATAAGTTACTTATCTATATTAATATGAGAGTAAACACTTGAGCGCTATGGTAGAATATAATTCCATTCTGATCGATTTATTACAAGTTTCGGACACAATTTAATGCCCATCAAAGTAACTACAAAACTTTGAGACATAGTTTATGTGGTTCTAATTTCCTCATTTCCTTTGTGATATGGGTAGTAGGATTCACCATAAAGTCGTAACAGGTACTGAGCCATTCCTGTCACTGCATGTATTGCAAGCTGATTGGATAAACAAAGATTCAGTTATCAACCCTTCCCTCCATCAAGTTGTGTTAATATTAAGAAGTTTCAATCTGTTCTATTCTATGGTATGGTTAAGGGTTATCGCATGTACGACTATAGCTGAGCTTTTTTCTAAATTCCTTATCAGCTAAGTTTTATTATAATTTTGTTCCTTGGGTTCCTAGTGGAACACACGGCTTCACTAGCACGTCTCCATTTCACTCCACATCACCCCTTGGTTAGGACACCTGACTCATGGCTTTCCATCTGGCCTACACTCGACGGCCTGGCTTCGCCTGGCGCTTGATGTCCCCAATCGGTATTCTCAGTGTATGCCGAATCCAATCCATCTCCACTTTCTTCTACTGCATATTTGTTGGGTGATACGTTTTTCGTCGACCACAATCAGGGAGGTTATGGATGATAGTAGGCGGCAACCTTGTCTAACTCCTATCCCCTGTCTTCACTTCAAAGGCCTCACTGAGCTTCCCATTGTATTGTGAATCACTTGGCATGTAGCATGCTCATATACCATATAGCTGTTGAATGAGGTTGATAAAGATTTGTGGCACTAGAAGCGTAGTGTTGAAGCAGCTGCCTGTCAAATTGCTTCTCGGTCGACGCTGTCGAAGGCTTTTTAAAATCGATGAAGTTGAGACAGAGAGTTGACTGGCATTCTACATACAATCTGTTATATGATGATGTGTAGAATAGGTTTGCAATTTGGTCTGCATATGATTTGTACTTCTTGAATCCAGTTTGTTCCGGTTGTTATTTTGAATCCAGTGCATTTTTCAGTCTCTCTAGGATGATGCGGCATAGTATTTTGCTTCGGGTGGACAGGAACATGATTCCGCGCCAATTGCTACAAAAATTTAGGTCTCCATTCTTTGGAAGTTCGACAAGGTAGCCTTTCTTCCAATCAGTTGGCAGGTATCTTTCTTTCCTTATCAACTTAGTAGGATCTACCAATTTTGAGCAGGCTGGGTTTTTGTGCTAGGATAACCTAATTGACCCTGGTCGACTAATAAACTAGATTATTCTACTTAACTGGATATCTTTAAGCCTCCAAAGCCTATTTCTGAGTGAGTTGATAGGTTTAAATGCAACTATAGTTCCAGTCTTATTGAGAATTCTTCGTAATGCTTCTAAGGTGCCTTCTTTGTATGATAATATCGTAGAGGTCTTGAATTCTCTCTTCACAGTATGGCCAGTATTATTATGAACATTATTATTTCTACCATTAACATCTGTGTTACTAATATCAGACATATTTTTCTTACGAATCCTGAGGAACTTAAGAGTTAATTTAAGAGGTTAGTTTTTGATGAGTAAGGTATCCTTAATTTATCAGGTTTCTTATCTTAGATCTTCTGTTTTATTCGTAAACTTTCTCGCTTTGTTTCTTAGACATTTCCCCAAGTCAACTTCAGATGAGAAGCGGTGGGATGATTGAGTAATATAAAACTTTACCCATTGCAGGAGTGGGTAGCGTCACTCAGTGGTGTAGAAGATAACGTCCTAGCATTTGAAGTGATCGCTCATGGGATCGATTCTTAGCGGGAACAAACAACACCATTCACTGGGAGGCAGATACATTCAGCTGATAAGTCTCAAATAGGACAAGTTGGGCATCCTAGATTCTATCATTACTAAGTACTGACAGGCATCTGGACCGAAATTTTGGTCTAAATTCAGATCCAAGTAACTAGATGTAAGACCATGTTGAAACCACAACATCATTTATCAAGTCAGTTTGAGTCATGTTTCGCGTAATACTAACAGTTCATTCAACAACACTCTCCTGACTATTCT